TTCGTAACATTTAGATTTATCAAAGTAGTTTCGCCTTCAGATGAATTCAGCTGCTCTTCCATTGTCAATAGCAATGTTTGCCTTTATCAAATAACTGTTTGTTATTTATGGCTCTGGTGCAGCTTTGTGCAGAGTCTTTATCCAAAAACAATATAAACGACACTCCTTTACTCTTAAAAAAAAAAAAAAAAGAATGTGTATTATTTTACTTTTCCATTTCATTAAAACTTGGACACCTTTTATAACGTAACCATTAGTTTACATACTTTGTTCAATATTTTGTTAGTGTTAAAGCTGTGAATTTCTATACTCTCTTAAATTATCCAAAGGTATACACTGGGAACATAGTGTAAATTATTTTTTCTGGTCTAAGGAGGACAAGGAAGTAGTAGGGGATACTTCAACCTTCACAAAATAGAAAGCAACCTTTGCCTGAAAAAGCAAATATACAGGGTAACTACAACAGAAGCTAAACAAGAGGATATTTGTGCTGAGAACATGCTAATTGCTTTCACATACCTTATATTTTCATAATAACCCGGTAAAGTAGACATTATCGTCTCTATTATACAGAGGAGAAAACCAGAGTTTAAACAGGTCAGGTTATTTACCTAAGAATTATACAGCTAAGCAGAAGAGATACTGACATTCAAATCAAGATTTATCTCAAGGGCCTTGTAGTGTACAACTTTATTCAATATGTAATCACTTTAAAAAGACACTCAAAAGAAAATACAAGGGGGAAAAAAAAAAAGAAAGAAAATACAAGGGCCGGGGACATGGCTCAGTGGAATAAGCGCTTCCCTGGCAAGTGCAAGGACCTGAGTTCAATCCCCAGTTCTGCAAAATAAATAAATAAAAAAGAAAATACAACAAAACTAACAGTGTTAGTCTAGGCCCTACCTAGTTGAACAAATGAAAAAACCTCTCTCTCTGCTTCTATCCCTTGGCAAATTGATCAGGAAATTCACAAAGCTTAATCGAGCTAGCCAAGAGTACTATAATCAAAATTTGTACCTTGAACTAGAACAAACTTGCGGCAATTTCTAGGTATCTTCTCATCTGGGTGGGTACCACTACCACTGACTGGTACATTAGGGTCTTGAGGCTCCAATGCTACTGTTGTTACTACAACTGTCATGTTCTCTCTCACACTCTCTCTCTCACTGTCACTGTCACTTTCTCTTTTGTGGTGCTACAATTGAGCTCATGGAATGATGAGTTATATCCCTATCTATCCATTTTATTAAATTTTTTTTGAGACATAATCTTGCTAAATTGTACTAAGCTGGGCTGTGTCTTGTGATTTTCCTGCCCAAGTAGCTGGTATTACAGGCATGAGCCACTGCTCCTGACATGCTATTTCCTTAATAGATATGATGATTACCACTGTGAACAGCACCAACCCAGGGTACAAGATACTGTATGAGGGACTGGTGAGATGGCTCAGTGGTCTAAATCACCTACTTAGAACAAGCTTAGTAAAGCACAGGGACCGCGGGTCAATCCCCCAGCACCACATGCCAGCCAGCCCCACCCCCTGGTGGGCTGAGCTGGCCACATACACACGCACACAAA